GGGCCCGGGAGCATTCCCGGTATTTTATGGAAAACCCCCTGGCCCGGCTGGAAACTGCGCCGAGCAGGGAAAACAGAGCCGGATTCCTTCAGCCAGCGGGAAGTTGACGCACCAGCCTAAGAATAGCTCGGGCAGGGGCAGCGTGGAAAGTGTTGTCGGAGGTAACCGGGCGCAGGAAAATGGGCAATTCCAGAGAAATTCCTTTTTTTTTATTATTTTTTTTTCCTGGGGGAAGGCGCTGGGTGGTGCCCCGGTTTTACCGTGTTTGCTCTCTGGTTACATTTCAGCTGCTGATGAAATCGCAGCCGGGAGCGGAGGAGTCTTTGGACCTTCCCATGCTCGGGACCTTTGACTCATAAAAAGCTCCTTCAAAAAGCGTCGGGAGCAGAAGAGGGAGAGGAAGAGGAGCCGGAGAAGGGAAGGAGGAGGTGTTGGAAGGAGCAGAGCCCGTCCCGGAGCGTGGGCAGCCGCGGGGGGACAGAGGAGGTCGCTGCATGTGGAGTTTTCGGACAGTAAGTCCCATGGAATATTGGAATTCCGCGTGGTCCGCGGGATAAAAACAAAAGGGAAGGCGAGGGTGGAGCTGCTGGGAGAGTTCCCAGCTTTAAACTTTGATTTTCACCCGTTCTCCACGCACCAATTCCCTGATTTTTCGGAGGGAAATCGAGATTTGTTGAACTAAAAACCTTCTGAGCGTTCTTTTAAAGTTTTCTCCTGGTTTTTGGTTCTGTTTGAAAGTGGGGCAGAGCAAAGCCAAACCCATCCAACCTGTTGTGTGGAGGCTTCACCCTCCTCCACCACCGCCAGCTCCTTGTTGTCCATTCCCAACCTCAATCCTGATTTTTCCTCCTCTTTTTTTTTCCCCCAACTTCAATCCTTGCTTTTCTCCATTCCTAATCTCAATCCTTAATTTTTCTCTTTTATTCTTCACAACCTCAACACTTATTTTTCTTCTTTTTTATTCTTCTCCATTCCCAACCGCAATCCTTATTTTTCCTTCTTATTTTCTTTCCATTCTCAACCCTTATTTCCCCCTTTTATTTCCCATCTCCATCCTTTATTTTCCCTTTTTTTTTCCCCCCACCAACCTCAACCCTTATTCTTCTTCCATTCCCAAACTCAACCCTTATTTTCCCCCTTTTCTCCCCCAACCTCAACCCTTATTTCCCCCTTTTTTCCCCCAACCTCAACCCTTATATTCCCCAAACTCAACCCCTATTTCCCCCAATTTTTCCCAACTTCCACCCTTATTTTTCCCATTTTTTCCCCAACCTCAACCCTTATTTTCCTCTTATTTTCCCCCAACCTCAACCCTTATTTTCCTCTTTTTTTCCCTACCTCAACCCTTATTTTCCCCCAATCTCAACCCTTATTTCGCCCTTTTTTCCCCAACCTCAACCCTTATTTTCCTCTTATTTTCCCAACCTCAACCCTTATTTTGCCCCAACCTCTACCCTTATTTCCCCCTTTTTTCCCCCAACCTCAACCCTTATATTCCCCAAACTCAACCCCCTATTTCCCCCAATTTTTCCCAACCTCCACCCTTATTTTCCCCCCAACCTCAACCCTTATTTTCCCCCAATCTCAACCCTTATTTCCCCCTTTTTTCCCCCAACCTCAACCCTTATATTCCCCAAACTCAACCCCCTATTTCCCCCATTTTTCCCCCAACCTCCCCCCTAATTTTCCTCCTTTCTCCCCCTCTCCCCACCAGAAATGCTCTCTCTGAAGAAATACTTCACGGAAGGCCTGATCCAGTTCACCATCCTGCTCAGCCTCCTCGGCGTGCGCCTGGACGTGGACACCTACCTGAATTCCCAACTCCCTCCCCTGCGGGAGATCATCCTGGGCCAGAGCTCTGCCTACACCCAGACCCAGTTCCACAACCTGCGCAACACCTTGGACGGATATGGCATCCACCCCAAAAGCGTCCAGCTGGACTCTTACTTCAGCGCCCGCCGCCTGCTCAGCCAGGTGAGGGCTCTGGACAGGCTGCAGGTGCCCAGCACCGAGGTCAGTGCCTGGTTGGTGCACAGAGATCCCGAAGGATCCGTGTCTGGAGGGCAGCCCGGAGCCGGGAGCGGGCTGCAGGATGCCGGAGCAGGTGATGGAGGAGTGAGGGAGAGCGGAGCTGAGCAGGGTTTTGGGGAAGAGCTGGAGGATTTAGGAGCTGTGGCTGCGCCTGTCAATGGAGATCTCACCAAAGAGGTAGGAAACAGATCATTTTTAATTTTTCTATAATTTTTTTATTATTTTTTTATTTTGTTTTAAGTGGTTTTTGGCTTCACGGCGAGCAGAACTTTGCGTTCGGAATGTCGCAATCCTGAATCTCAGCGCTCCGGGGGTAATTCCGGGGTGATTTCCCTTTTTGTCTGCTCCAAAGGAGCAGTGAAAGGAGGGGGAAGGAGCTGGGGGGGCCCCTCGTGACTCTGAGGATTGGGAAAGCGATCATTCCAGCCAGGAAATAAACAGGAGTGTTGGGAAAGAGCCCCGGCCCAGGTGTGGAGCAGGTGGTTGGGTTGCTGGGCTGGAGCCTGGCCAGGAGCTCATTCCTAGTTCAGTTTTCCTCCCCAAAATTCACTTCCTCACTCACTTTTCCTGCCCAGGAACCTGTTCCTTGCTCTTTTCCTCCCCAAAATTCACTTCCTCACTCACTTTTCCTGCCCAGGAACCTGTTCCTTGCTCAGTTTTATTCCCCAAAATTTGGCTCCTCACTGTTTTCCTCCCCAAAATTTGGTTCCTTCCTCAGTTTTCCTCCCCAGAATTTGGTTCCTCCCTCAGTTTTCCTCCCCAAAATTTGGTTCCTCCCTCAGTTTTCCTCCCCAAAATTTGGTTCCTCCCTCAGTTTTCCTCCCCAAAATCCATTTCTTCCCTCGGTTTTCCTCCCCAGCTGTCTGGCCAGAGCTGGGCTGGGAGGGGATTTGCCTTTTTTTGCTTTTCCTGCTTGAGCCACGAGCTTTGGGAAGGCTGGGATGCGATTCCAGGCCCTGGCAGCTTTTTGTTACTGCACATCCCGGCTTCCCTGGGCCTTGGGTCCTTCCAGGGTCAAGGAATTGGGGCTGTCAGTGCTGATTCCATGTGTCCAGGTCCTTGCAGGGTTATGGAATGGGGGTGTCAGTGGTGATTCCACGGCCTCAGGTCCTCCCAGGGTTGTAGAACAGGAGTGTCAGTGGTGATTCCCAGCCTTGGGTCCTTCCAGGGTCAAGGAATTGGGAGTGTCAGTGCTGATCCCCATGCCCAGGTCCTTGCAGGGTTATGGAATGGGGGTGTCAGTGGTGATTCCACATACTCAGGTCCTTGCAGGGTTATGGAATGGGGGTGTCAGTGGTGATTCCATGTACTCAGGTCTTTGCAGGGTTATGGAATGGGGCTGTCAGTGCTGATCCCTGTGGCCAGGTCCTTGCAGGGTTATGGAATGGGGCTGTCAGTGCTGATCCCTGTGGCCAGGTCCTTGCAGGGTTATGGAATGGGGGTGTCAGTGGTGATTCCATGTACTCAGGTCCTTGCAGGGTTATGGAATGGGGCTGTCAGTGGTTATTTCATGTGTCCAGGTCCTTGCAGGGTTATGGAATGGGGCTGTCAGTGCTGATCATTGTATCCAGGTCCTTGCAGGGTTATGGAATGGGGGTGTCTGTGGTTATTCCATGTGCCCAGGTCCTTGCAGGGTTATGGAATAGGGGTGTCAGTGGTGATCCCTGTGCCCAGGTCCTTGCAGGGTTATGGAGTGGGGCTGTCAGTGCTGATCCCCGTGCCCAGGCCCTGCCCAAGCCCTGCCTGGCTCCGGGCACGGCCAGCAGGGATCGGGATCAGGATCGGGGTGTGGGAATGGGTGTGGGGAGCGCCGCAGAGCCTGAGCTGGAAGCGCTGGAGGAGACTGGGAATGTCATCCCGCTTTTCCCTGCGGGTTTCCAGGGATCTCCAGGGGGAAAATCCCGCTCGGGGATGGCAGCAGCGACCTTGGAGGTGCCAGAGGCCGAACCTTGTGCTGGTCCCTGGTGATTCCCAGGGAGGCGATTCCCAGTTTGGGAATGGCGAGGGATCGGAGGGATCCTCGCCTTGTGCAAGGTCACTCCTGCTGCTCCTCCCGGATTTGGGATTCCCGGCTCTGGGGAGCTTTCCCAGTGCAGGGAAACCGGGATGAGATTTTGGGGGGATTCAGGAAGAGAGAACCCAGGAGCCGCCGTTTTCCAGCGGGAACCGGGGCTGGGAATGAGCGAGGGCAGAGATCTGCGGCCGCTCCCGGCTTTTCCCACATCCCTGCTGGATCTCGGGGGGCTCTGTTTTCCATGATTTTCCCCGGGCAGGAGGAGCAGAAGCCGCTGGCGCTCCAGGAAATCCCGTCTGGCTCCCACGTCACTCCCTCACCCCATCCCGGCTCCCTCCTCCCCCAACTCGCTGCTCCCACATTTCATTTTAGGCATTTATTTTTTTATTCTTTTTAAGGTGGGATTTTTTTTTTTTTAATTTATTTTTTATTTTTTCACCCTGATTCTTTGGAAAACGCAGAACAGCCGCAAATCTTCCCAGCGGGAATAACATCCCAGGAGTCCCGCAGGGCTGTGAGCTCTCCCGGGCCGGGTGGGGATGGAGCTGCAGATGGCTCCAGGGCCCGGCTTGGAAATTTTTCCATGACTTTTCCTGGCACATTGCGACTCCCGGTGGGTTGTGCTCTGCCCAGGCGCGACCTTGCCGGGGGAATACGGCTGATATAAATAATTTTGGGAAGCTGGAACTCGCTCCGGGAATGCTGTGCGGGATTTTTTTTTTTTTTAAATTATTTTTCAATATTTTATTTTATTTTTTTTTTTTTTATTTGGGGCGTTGCAGCACCCGGAGATCGGGGTGAAAAAATAAAAAATAAATT